CTGCCATCTGCCCTGAACAATGTGAACCATGATTCATCCGTGAAGCGCACACCTCTCCAACGTGCCAGACGCCATCGAATGTGAGCATTTTCCCACACAAGTCTGTTACGGCGAAGAGCTGGAGTCAGGTCAAGACCCCGATGAGGACGACGGGCATGCAGTTGAGCGTCCCTGAGACGGTTTCTGACAGTTTGTGCAGAAATTGTTTGGTTGTGCAAACCAATTGTTCCAGCAGCTGTCTGGGTGGCTGGTCTCAGACGATCTTGGAGGTGAACCTGCTGGATGTGGAGGTCCTGGGCTGGTGTGGTTACACGAGGTCTGCGGTTGTGAGGCCGGTTGGATGTGCTGCCATATTCTCTGAAACGCCTGTGGAGACGGCTTATGGTTGAGAAATGAACATTCAATGCACGGGCGACAGATCTGGTTGAAATTCCTGCTGTCAGCATGCCAATTGCACGCTCCCTCATTGCTTGTGGCATCTGTGGCATTTTGCTGTGAGACAAAACTGCACATTCCAGGGTGGCCTTTTGTTGTGGGCAGTCTGAGGTACACCTGTGCACTACTCATGATGTCAGATCAGCATCCTGATGTGGCACACCTGTGAGGTGGGATGGATTATCTCAATATGGCAGATGTGCCCACTACCACACATTTGGACTGATTTGTGACCACTGTTTGGGAGGGATGGTTATATTGTGTATCTGGAATGAATTTTAGGTCTCTACGTCCATCCCATGGGGAATGGGAGCAAAAACAAAAGTGTTGCGTTTATATTTTTGTTCAGTGTAATTAATTTCTTAAATTACAGTATTTTAAGACATGTAGATGGCTGGTGTGACAGAAGTGGATGCTAGGTATAGGATGATGGAGCAGCTAGATGAAGAGGATTAAAGCCTCTGATAGACCTTTAGCTTACAGGTCTTTTTGCATTTTGGAATTTTATATTTTCAGTAAGTATTTGGGTGGAGTTTCTGTTTAGAGGGGTGCAATGGTGAAAGGTTGACATCAAGACAGTCCTGAGTTTAAATCTGCCAACCTGCTGGGGCCTCTCTGCTTGGAGTTTGTACGCTGGCCATCAGTGTTACTGTGGGAGTGAATTGTTGTCAGTCTCTATGTCCTGCAATAGACTGACAATAATGGTTTGTTTAGTTTTTTACTGTTTCCTAAAGAGTTGTGTTTGTATACTTCACCCTCCAAACTTATCTTCAATAAAAAATGATTATTTTACAAGAAACATAACAAATTTGTTGCTATTATTTTCAACATTATTTTCAATAATAACAATTATTGCTTAAAAGCAATTTGCATGTACATAAATTACAGGTAAAGAAAAAGAATTGAACAAATAAAAGAAGTAAAAGGCACATATGATAGGTTTACATTCCAACATAATTTGAAATTCAGAATAAATATAGCATCAGTCAAAGGAGCTTGCAAAGAAAAGCGTCTGGACTGAAGAAGCTTCTTGGATGAGAGGTGAAACGTCTTCAAGCAACTTAATGGTATAGAAATGATATCTTGAATTTGGATGTAAACATGTTCACCCACATGTTTACATCATCTCTAAAATTAGAAGTATCCTGTCTCAAAGTGACCCTGAAAAACTAGTTAATGCATTTATTACTTCTAGGCTGGACTACTGAAATTCATTATTATCAGGATGTCTTAAAAACTCCCTGAAAATCCTTCAGTTAATCCAAAATGGGTCCCTGTTAAATCCAGAATTGAATTCAAAATCCTGCTGTTAAGGACTTAAATAATCAGGCCTCATCCTATCTTAATGACCTTGTAGTACCATATCACCCTATTAGAGCACTTTGCTCTCGCACTGCAGGCCTACTTGTTGTTCCTAGAGTATTTAAAAGTAGAATGGGAGGCAGAGCTTCCAGTTTGGATTCAGGAGACAGACACTATCTCTACTTTTAAGATTAGGCCAAAAACTTTCCTTTTTGCTAAAGCATATATTTAGGGCTGGACCAGGTGACCCTGAATCCTCCCTTAGATATGTTGCAATAGGTGTAGGCTGCTGGGGGACTCCCATGATGCATTGAGTATTTCTTCTTCAGTCACCTTTCTCACTCACTATGTGTTAATAAACCTCTCTGCGTTGAATCATACTTGTTATTAATCTCTGTCTCTCTTCCACAGCATGTCTTTTATCCTGTCTTCCTTCTCTCACCCCAACCGGTCGCAGCAGATGGCCCCGCCCCTCCCTGAGCCTGGTTCTGCTGGAGGTTTCTTCCTGTTAAAAGGGAGTTTTTCCTTACTGCTGTCGCCAAAGTGCTTGCTCACAGGGGGTCATATGAATGTTGGGTTTTTTTCTCTGTATGTATGGCTCTGCTAGGGCCATACAATATAAAGCGCATTGAGGTGACTGTTGTTGTGATTTGGCGCATATAAATAAAATTGAATTGCATACATACATATTTAAACAACAACTGACAGTGTACTATGTATTATAGATTATTATGGTGGGAAGATGCCAAAAATACAAAGGTTAAAAGGTAAACATATTATCCAAAATACAAAATGTCTTGTGTTATTAGTTACAATATACATCAACATGTTCATGTACTCTAGATGCAGGTTTAAGGGACAAAATAAAAGGTGTTCATGTGGCCATCAATAAACGGTAAACTACATACTCAAAGACATGAATACAAACAAACTGCAGCGAAACCTGCTTCAGAGAAAGACAAGATTTCCTGTTTGAATGTCAGTAAAAATGGGCAAAAGGGTGCAGGACACAATGAGGCTATCTGTATTGTATGTATAATTTATCACATTTAAGCCACACTTAAATGGAAAAAAACCCTACTGAGCTGAGGGACTATGAAATATGAAACACGACAAGTAAACAACAACAACAGACTTGTTATGAAAGAAAATCAGACAATATGATGTGTGTGAAGAAAAAATAGAAAATGCGCCACAATGGCAGAGAATAGTGTTTGATTAGGACTTGTGTTCGCAAGCCCGTACTTTCAAATTTCTCTCAAAAAAGAGAGAGAGAGCACAGAAATCCCTAAAAACCTAAACAACAAGCCTCATGTGTGGCTGTGAAACTTCTGCTTGAAGCTTCACAGTTTTACAAAAGATGAGCAATGGTATCAGAAATTATCATGCTTCTCTGGTAAAAAGGCAAAAAACACATGTCTGTGGCCATAAAACCACTGAGGCTACAAGTCTGCTCACACTGCACTAGAAAACTTATAAGATATTTAGCAAGTCAAATTTGCTCAACTGTATCGATCTGTTTTTAATGAATTCAGCCCCAGCTGAGCCATACTTTTCTCTTATTTGGAACGTCAAAACTTTCCAAATTTCCAAATAATATCCCACTTTTCCAGAGAAAATAGAGCTTTGGCTCAAATGTGTTCTAGATTTAGAGTTGATTGCATGAAATTGACAAGTAAAGCATGGCATCAGAAATTAAAATACTTGCTGTTGAACATTCACACTGCTTAGTCACTATTACAGTGAGTAAAAAAGCTTAGAAAGCTAACCAGCCTAAAGATTCATTCTCACTATCACCAGCATCCAACAAGCCATCAAACTGAACTTAAAGGCTTGATCACTACATAGAAAGTAGTGTATATGACACCTGAACTTGAATGTTTTATCGTTTTTCCAGTTGCAATGTTTTTGATATTTCAAAAGCAAGAAATCTCACGCAGACTTGTCACATAAAAACAAGATTTACCAGAACCTTCAAATGGGGACTCGTGACTACTAATGTCAAACTTTGTGTTTTGATATATTTGTCACTAGAGCATGGCTGTGCCAGCAAAGGAAGTTGTACTGAAGATATATCATGTTAGTCAAAGTGTATCAAAGCTGTAATATTTAAAAAAAAACCTTACTGTAAAAAGGTGAGCTGTTGTTTTGCAACAACACAGAATGCCCCCTGTAGTACATAAGCAGTGCTGTGTGCTTCTCTTTACTTGACTGTTTTAAAAATTCAGTGTCACCGTGACATGTTTGTGTTGGTGTCTAGCATCAGCAGACACTGCTACAGCACAGACGTAATTCAACAACCAACCTGCATGATAATCTGATCTTGCTCTCTAATCTACATCATCTTGGCTTTCTGCGGGGAGTGGAAGTCCAGTCATTGCTTGATGCTATTGGCCAGAGGAGCAGACAGCTTGGGTTGGTAGACTAAATACGAAATTTAGGTGCCACTACTACTGACCCTGTCAACAGCAGCGAAGCCTGAAAAACTATGAGTCAATTGTGTTGTTGCACTGATGAGTACGGTTGTTGTCACAACAGCGTCAGTGCATCAACAATACTGTCTACTTATTAATGAAGTAAAGATGTAGATGTGTTACTTTGCTTAAATTTACAAAATCCCCAAACTTTTTATGTGTTTTTTATTTGTTTTATTTGATGGGTCTATGCACAGTTGTGGTCATGTACTCATGGTGATTTTGGGCTATTAATGATCTCTTAAACTGATCTTTTTACAGGGTGAAAGGATTTACAGCATACAACTTAATCCAAATCCAAAATAAACTCTACAAGTTTGAGTTTATTTTTGGATTTTCCCTAATCCACACACACAGGGTCAAATACATACATACATACACCCTTGGACATTTAACCTTTGGTTATCTGTTAGAAAGCTGCACCTCAACAAGATATTTTTGGTAGCCATCAACAGCTTTTGCATAATTCTGGCTGAATGTTTGACCATTCTTCTCTTCTTGGCAGAACTGGAGGAGTTTAGTATCTAGGCTCATTTTTACCTGTTTCCTTTTAACTATCTGAAAACCTAAAAAAATCATTCTAAAGTTGGCTTTAGAGAATAGGTTTTTTTCTAAAACCAACTGTGAAGTCAAATAAAGAACAATCTGACTGTCAGTGATGTGAGAAGAAGTCATAAATACATCCACCTACACAGAAAGCAGCAAGAAAGGTTTGTCAGACTGCAAAGTGGAGTGATGTCTGTTATTATTACTATTTATGTACCATGTACAAAGAGCTGAATGCCTTACCCGCTTGCGCAAGTTACAGGTGAGGATGAGGTTGCGGGAGAAAGAGTTGGCGAAGGAACTGTAAAACTCCAAAACTTTGAGCAAAGCTTCCCTCTTGATGACGTGGAGGTCACAGTAGGTAAGCGCTCTAACATTTGCACACGCATGTGCAAGAGTCGTTTCTTTCCAAAAGACATCTCCGAACACGTCACCTTTTCCTGAGGACACAGTAAACAGGAAGAGCATTTTATTCATCAGTGACAACTATCGCAACATCAATTGTTTACAAAGATGACAGCTGAGGTAAAGCACAGAACAAGCCCTGCATGCCCCACACATTCAGTAAATTAATACTGTGAAGTTACACAAGTTATTCAGATTCCTGCTGCTGTGGCACAGCACAGCCTAATGTTGGAAATGCTTACCAACAATGAGTTACAAGCACGAACACACTAAGAAGTGGGGGAAAAAAAAGAAATCCTGTCCTGTTATCTATGAAACTGGAAAATCATGTAAGATTTGTTTTGTTATATAAATCTGTTGTGTCTGCTTTTGTTTGGTAAAGAAAAATAAATCTATGTATGTATACAGCGGCTCTTTTTATTTTGCAATTTGCAAGTTGGGAAAAGGTCCAAGTTTAATAATTTATTTTATTATACAAACACAAATTTGCATTTAAGAAAACCTGACTTTTCTTTGTATAGGCTGTCAGTTATTGGACATACAAAGAAAATCATAATTGGCAAAATACAGTATCCGCAGGTCACACTTACAAAAAATGGTAAATGACAATCGGCCGATAAAACTGCAATTTGTGCATCTCTAGTTTAATTGAAAAAATATAGAAGCCTTTAAAAAGTATCTCATAGAAAGCAAGAAAAAAGTGTAGACCACAGTCATATAGGACTGGGGAGCTGTCTGCGATCTTCTGGCAACTATGACTCACTACACCTGTCACTAGGCCTGAATGAATGAGGCTGAATATACTATAAGAGCTGCTTGTAATGTATAACTTGAGATGTAGTGATTTACTAGCAATTTCTGAGTATGTCTACAAACAACCCTGTCGATGTCTGATATGGAGCCACATATACCATTGCTGCATATTTCTGTGTTTTACCACCACCCACCAAAGTGTGAGTTTACATGAGTTAAATGGTCACACAGCATGGAAATGTCATTTAAGAAATACATTAATATTTAATGAGAATGACATTAAATCTCTGTGTGAACCACACTCTTCTTCTTCTATCAGTCTACGCTTTGTTCCTTAGCAACAGTTTTACCTGGCCAAGTCCATAGCAAATAGACCTGCTGATTTAACCATTTTCATCATTAAAAGTTGATGGCAGCTGGCATGTAGTGGGTATGGATACTGTTATGTTGCCAGGTAGATAACTAATAAACCATAGAAGAAACCAGAAAAAATATTTTTTGAAACATTGACTATAGAGTTCTGCTTCACCCTTGGGTGTTGATCAATGTGTCTGAAGTATAGCAAATTTCTTTGAAGCGCTTAGTCTTTGGAAATAGAAAGTTCACCATCCATGACGTGTATGCTCAGTAGATGGTTCTTATATAGCCCTATTCTACTCCACTTGAGCATTCCAAGTGCTTTATAAGCATGTTGGCACTGTTGGTAAACCTGGGTGAGCTACAGACAGCCCATCTAGCTGCCTCTATTGCCAGATGGAGCAAGTGTACAAATCATGTGGTGCAACTGCTCTGTAGGCTACTCCTGCTTGTGCAGTGGTTGGTCTGCCAACCAGTCGCAGAGAAGAGCAAACGTGTCTACTGTAGCCACTACCTGTGTTTTTTGTACTTTTTAAAAAACTATTAAATACCTACACACACAGAAAACAACTGCAGTAGCATGACAGAGTATGCACGAGGCTGCTACATAACCTTTGTTTTTTTTTCTAGGAGATTCATAAAGTCTTTAAAATCTTTTTAAAAAATACAGTAGGAACATATCTGAAGAACAGCAGAATTTAAAAAAAATCTTAAAAAAGTTATGACCTAGTGAATAAACAAAAATTCAGCTAAAACCTTCTGGATGATGAAGCAGATGACATATAGCAGACGTATATATGTATAGCAGATGAATGAATATTTACACTTGTGAGCACCTCCTGAGCAGTGCCATGCTTGTTGTCATAATAACAACACAGGAAGAGAACAACAATTATAGGAACGAACGAATACATCATGTCATCAAAAAATATTTGTGATTGATGAATTCAATGGGTGCCTGATAGTCAAAACATTAATGTGTATCAATTGACTCCAAAAAGGCTCCAACCCCACTGTGTTTCCTGATATGAAAAGAAATGAAGTTATAAAACACAAAAATAGTTAAAAAATGACCCATTATGAAATCAAGATATCTTAAATAGGCAGCATACAGAATATAATGGTGCTTCTGCATGACTTTTCCCAGAAGACATCTGTGCACTCTGAGCTCAAGAAAGTGAAGACGAGACTCAAATCTGTGTCAAACTTGCCACAACTATCGTCTCAGCATTTTTCTGACAGCTGACCTGGATAAGATGTGACAAAAAGCAGTCCACGCTGTCCACAAGCTGTCACAACACGCTGAGTAATACGCGTATACTGCTTCCAACATACAGTCGCAAAACGAAGCATGTATGCCACTGTGGGTTGTGTGAGTGAGTGAATCTCATCTTGACAATCCCTCCTTTGCACCCTCGAGGGCCCATTTCCTTCTGAACATCCAACAGAGGCTCAGGCAGCAGGACTCATCTGGAATGAGCTCCCTGGAGACCCACAGTTCCTTGCCAATTAGGAGTCTGGATGTGGATGTGGTCACGCGGACCAGGGGGTGCTGAAGATGGTGGCAATGTGTGCACTGAATCTAACGCGTACAATGAGATTATAGATGGATGAAGATGGATACATTGGGGCCATAACCCCCATTTCCAGGCTCTGCAATACTCCTGATCACTCAAACACATCTAAAGCCTTCATATTATTCTGCCTGTCTGCAAGAAGGAAAGTGGTGTACAGTGTTAGACTATAGATAAGAAGCAAAAAAGAAACAATCAACTCTCATATGCAGTCTTAAAGCCTAAATGTTATCTTTTTGACTGCAGCCAAAGGTTACAATTTTTGGACTAACAGTGTAAGTCTTAAGTTATCAGCAAACACTGATAAGCTTTGTTAGAAAGTTGCATTCATACCTGCTAATAAGTAGCAAGTAACAGACTAATAAAGTACTAGAATTTTACTCACCAAAACTGAAGCATAAACTTTGTTGCAGAGTCTATGTCATAGCTCAGCATATATTTTAATCTGGGGCAGAAAATGTGTGCCCACAGTAGCCTGCAACGGGCTATTTTGGGTCGCTATATAGGTTTTCTATGGGCAAGACTATTATGGGTTGCCCACAGAAAACTGTAATGGGGGACCTTCAGGGTAAAACTACTATGGGGCCTGTATGGGCTAACCCACAAAGCAGCCACAGAGGGTTTTCTCTGAGCAAGCCCACCGTCGGGTACCCAGAGAATTTCCTCTTGGGGATCCAAAAGGGCAAAATTGCTACAGGCCCCACATTGGCTACCTTTGCCCATAGAAAACTCATGTGTTCTGCAGCTCTAATTAGAAAACTGTCTCAAGCCCCTTGTGTCTGCAACCTGTTAATTAATGAAACCACACCCTTAATCTTAAGAATTAGTGTCACTAGTGGTGACAGCAAAAGTTGCAGGCCTTGAAACAAATAGCTGATGGGTAGTAGCAGCCACCACATTAGGGGCTAAAAATCATGAACCACCCTAAAATGGTAATTAACAGTTAGCATTCTCTAAACAGATAGATTGCAAATTGCATTTTTCTTGCCCTCATCAATCATATGCTGGTCTGCCAGTCTGGCATCAAAAATCTGAGATGATGCAAAGGAAATCAGCTGACTAGCATGTTCTAATATTTGTTCATGTTGTTTGGACAGGTTTTCTCTACTATAGAGAATCTTCAACAACAGTTCAGGATTTTCTGTTTTCTGCAATCCAGATGTTGATATTATTTAACCATCTATGACTAACAAAACCCTCACAAGAACAGCTCATTCAGATGGCTGGTAGTGAAAATGTTACAGCATGGCCTGGTAAACAAAGCCCACATTTTACTCCACCTTTGCTTTTGTGATCAACTTTTTGGCTTCTCAGGCCAGACCACAAATTGTACGACCATAGCACTGGGATGTTGCACTCCTTCCTCTTGTAGAATCTTTAATTTGACTGTTTTATATGCTGTGAAGGAGTGCTACCTTTTCCTGATTGGGGCATGCACTTGTTCCTCATCCTGCCTTCCTCCCCTTTCTGCTTCTTCTCCATTCTGGCTTCTGTCACCAACTGATTGGATCAGTGCCATAGTTCTATGCTGCACCCTCAGAATATATATATTTCTGTTTTTTTAAAGGGCTGCCAACTTGCCATTCAAGGCAGCTGTGATTTAGTATGAACACCTAAACAATCTCTGCTCTTTGTGAGTAACTATATGTGAGACAAACAGAGTTCAGGGTAGGGTTAGAATTCTTTTGCATTGTTTTTTATAGTTCTTTATCCTCTTGCTATTCCCTGGAGAATGAGCCAAGAGTTAGATCTTTCTCTCTGTTGACTTAGATGGGGTCAGGGGCCTCACTTCCATTTTATTATTTTTAAATAGAATAATTAGGTAGGTTGGGATATTTCTGCATGAATTAAACTTTTTGTTTGTTGATTAATTAGCACCCATTTGCCCTGGTTGAGCTGTGCTTGATTTGTATTTCCACTGTATAAACTTTACTTAATCAGAGTGTGTCCAAACTTTGCTTGGACCTCTGAACATTACTTTCCTGTTCCCTAGGAAGCTGCGGTTCTATTCTATTATTATTTCTTTCTTTATTTCAACATGAAAACTAAAATCATTGAAAACGCTGAAGAAAAGAGACAAATCAATCACAGGTCAGTAAATTAAATGAATGTGAAGCGCATTTCAGCATGACCTGATCTTAGAATGCCAATAAACAAGCTACCCTCTAACTCATATTAACCTAGTTTACTTGTTCAATCACATCTCATCCCGAATCTGTGTCAGTATAGTCTGAGTGCTTTAAATGTTCAATTTGGGGAAAACAGTCTTGTATTTTTCTGATCTTTCACTAAGGAACCCCATGCTGAAACAGCCTTGGCAGAGAAAACAACAGATGTTAATTCCTCCCTGC